ACCTGGAGCACATGCAGGAGCCTGGAGAAAGACATCGCCGTCAAGACCAGCAGCCTCTACGTCGGCCGCCAGGCGTGCACAGCTACTGCGCCGCTACCCCACCGTCCTGCAGCTGCCTGGAGGCCAGTAAGAGGCTGGCACCGTGCAGGCACCATGCTGCATTTTCTGTCCCGTCTCCCAAATAAAGAGCATGTTAGCTTTCTGCACAGGGCGTGTGCGCCAGTGGAGGGGCACACAGGAAGGGGCTTTCTCTGTGCCCCTTCCACTGAGGAATTGAGGAATTCAGACCCTGACCCTGAAAGGTGGGCCCAGAAGCTTCCAGAACCTTCTCTCCAGCACAGGCTGTTCCAGAGAAAATGTCACCTCCCGTCACCGTGGAAGCCATGCCGTTCGTTAGGAGCTGCCGGTCACCACGGCGACAACCGGGGCCCGGCTCTCATTCTTTGGGGCCATTAAAATTCACTCTGGGTGCTGTTGCCACGGGGTCTTGGCAGCCAGGAGCAGAGAAGGGGACCCAGCGTGGACCCTCACCCGGGGGGCTGCAGGCAGCTCATGTCCTGTGCACACAGCCCCTCAAAGCTGCTCAAGGGCACCAGACGGTCTGGGGCGGTGACCTCCGGGGGGGACGAGGAACCGCCTCTCTGCAGTCCCCCTGGCATGGGGGGGCCTGGAGCCAGGCAGAAGCTGGTGAACTCAAAGGCCCCTGAGCCTGGGTAGGGGCTTCACTCCCTGCCGCCTGGGACACCACGGCCAGGGAGGGGTAGCGTGTGGGTGAGTGGCGGCTGCAGAGCCCCATGCCTGCTGCAAGAGGGGTGGCCTGGCACTGCCCCATCCTGCATCCAGGGCTCTGGGTGGAGCTCAGACCCTGTGCCAGCCTCCGTGGGTGTAAGGTCCCTGTGCCGTGCCCACTCCAGCCCCACAGGGAGCTGCTGGCTGCTGTCGCCTCCCACGTGGCGGCTCGTCACGCGTTCTCGGCCAGTGGCCATTAAGAGGCTTTGGAGATAATGGTCCCTCCACGCCGGCCCCGGCCCCGCACTCAGGCCTCATTATCGCCCAGGCCCAGGCAGCACTCAGGCCTGTCAGGTCCTCGTCAGGCTGAGGCCCCCCTGTCCCCTCCGGTAGGGGGTGGCTTATGGGGAGCCTAGGGCCGGGGGAAGGGGGAGGGGGCCTGGAAGGAGTCTCTGAGGCCGGCTGGTGGCACCAGGCTGGGAACACAGAGCCAGGAGCTGTTCTGAGCACGAGGCAGGTTCCAACTTTGGGCCTCATGTGCACTTTACAGCTGGGGAGACAGCCCAGGGGTCCCTGCGCCTGCACCCACTGTGCTCCCACACCAGGGCCAGGCTGGTGACTGCAGCCTGATGATGGGCGCGACTCCCGGGCTGGAGAGGGGCCAACACCCCCGCCCCCAATTTCCTGACCTCCCCACTCCCACACGCGCAGGGAGACTGCAGACTACCGGACTGGGGCACGCAGGGGCCGCCCACTTTGTGCTGAAAAAGGAGCCCCAGACTTTCGCAGTCTAACAGTAAAATCCTGAACCCCACGGATGGAGCTCTCTCCGTTTTCTGGGTGCACCCCAAATGCCTTCCTTTAGAAAGACTGGCCACCCCTCTCGGGGGCCGAGTGAGCCCCTGCATCCAGGAGGCCCCAGTCTGCACAGCAGGGAGCTGAAGGCTGGGAGGGGGGGTGGAGTCGGGGGTCTTGCTGAGACCCCTCCCCTGGCACCCCCACCTGCACCTCACTGGCACAAGCGCCCTGCAGCACGGAGAGGGGGCGGCCCTCCTGGGACACTGCTGGGTGTCTGTGGGGGGCGGGCCCCAGGGCGCCCAGCGGCAGCCGCTCCCCCGTCGCCACGGCAATGCCGCGGTCGTGCCTGGCCAGGGCTATTTCTGTCCAGGAGACATGCTGTCCTGCCCCACTGAGTCACCCTCCACTCTCCCTGCCCACCCCACTCAGGCCCGGCCTGCAGCTTCTGTGCCACAGTAGTTCAGGCATCGGCCCCGCCAGCCGCCTGCCCAGACGGACTCTCCCCAGGCCGGGTCATCCCAGGCCACCCGAACCTGAAGGACCCCAAAGCACCCTTCCCGGGCCGTTCACCCACCCCTGAACCTCCTTCCACCCCACCCTGTGCTTGGGGAAGCTCCGGGACCTGCCCCCAACAAGGGGGACTGTCAGGAACACCCATCTGTTTTTGGGGGGCAGTTCTGCTGGTGTCGGGGGGCTCCGAGGGGCACAGGGAGGGGACTCAGGTTCTCTGTGTCTGGGCCTCAGGGATGCTCTGGACACTTCTGAGCTCCATGGGTGCCCATTTCACGGGCATGGAGGCTAAGCTCAGACCCAGGCTGCGGTGGAGTGTTGGCGTCTGCCCATCTTTCTCCACCAGCCCCAGGAACCCCGCTCTGTCCCACTGGGACGCACCTGCAGAGCTGTGTTCTCGCCACCCGGGTCACAGCTACGCAGAGCCGGCTCGGTGGGCTGCAGGCGCCCTAGTCACAGGGTCTCAGGTCTTCACACCCCATCTGTGCTGCCACAGCCAACAGGGTGAAGATGGCTGTCCCCAGAGGGGGCTGCTGGACCTGGTGGGTGCCGCTGCCAAGGGTGAGCTGTCACCGCCCAGGCCCAGCTGGAGGGGGAGCCTGAAACCGGCCACGGTTGGTGCAGCCCCCACCACAGCCCTCCCCAGCCCCTGCTGCCCGCAGCCTGGCACACGAACCCCCACAGGGGGGACCCCTTGGTCTCCCCTCGCCTCCTGTCCTCCTTTCCTCCTTGGTCTTTAGCATGGGGCTGCTGAGGGTCAGGCCAGGCTGAGGGGCTGCGGGGAGAGCGGGACCCCAGGCCGCACATGAATCTGCCAAGGGGACTGAGCCAGCTCGGGGCCCCTCCCCGCCTGCAGTCTGCTTTCGGGCAAGGCTGCCACAATTCTCCCGCCACATCCAGCGCCTCCCGCAACAGGGACCGGCTTGTGGAGGAAGGACCCGTGGGGAATGGCCATGTGTCTGTGTCCAGAGGCCCAGGGTCGGAGCAGGACGCGGCCAGGGTGCTGTGTGGCTTGGCCTGGGGCCTGTAGAGAATGGAGCCCCCGCCCGCTGAGGCCTGGGAGGCCTAGGAGTCATTCCCCCAAGTGGTCCGGACCCGTCCTTATCCGCCGAGAGGCAGGGCTGGTGCGGGGCCTCCCCAGGGGTGTCATGAGGGACTGAAGAGACTCCACGGAGCCTGGGCAGACTTCGCTCCTGGGCTCCGTCCAGCCTGGCCTCCCCGCCAGCAGCATGAGGGCTGTGTGTCACCAGGGGGCCTGGTGGCCAGGAGGGCCCCGTGCAGCATGGAGGCCTTGGTCTGGGCCCAAACACTGGCCTTGGCCCACAGCCCCCTTGCCAGGCCCGCCCAACCACAGCTTCCACCTCCCTGCTTCTCCTCAGGGCGCCGCGCCCCAGGCGGGCAGCAAGCTTGGTTTCCTGATGGAGGAGAGCCGCGTGCCCACGGCACCATCCCGCGACCCAGCCGGCCGAGACGCCGGGCCCCAGCCCCACTCATGGGCATGAGGCTGGCGGGAGGACCCTGGGGCCGCGAAGCAGGCTTCACAGTGGACGTGGGGCCCTGCCAGCCTCCTGTCCGGAGCCCGGCGGAGCTGGCCTCTCAGCCTGTTGGTCTTGGACGGCCCAGAGGAAGCCACAGGCGCCCGGGCGGGCATGAAAGGGCTCTTTAACGGCTGGGTTGCCGGGACAGTAACGCAGATGGCCGACCAGGCAGGGAGCATCCCTGAATCCCTGAGACGGTAACAGGGGGCACGGGGCCTGGGGTGGTCGTGGGGGTCTTCACAGCCGCCCTGGGCAAGCTGGGCTCCCCCTGAATCCCAGCGCAGCGGGATCCAGCTCCGATTGTCTGCCAGGCAGGGCCAGGGGCTGGGACGGCCGGGAACTCTGTGGGGGCTCCTGCAGGCCTCCGTCCGTGGACACACCCACTCCTGCCAGGCTCCCTCCACTGGAGGAGTCCAGGGGGGTCTTGTGGTGTCCAGTGGGGCCAGGGGGTGAGTCAGGGTCTGCTGAGCTTGCGGGGAGGCAGGCAGAGGGGGTCTCAACAGTCAGAGACTTTCCACCCACCTGGAATGACCCACTGCAAGAGGAAGGACCTTGCCCTGTGCTGCAATCCCAGAGGGCTTCCTGAAGGAGGCAGCCTAGATCTTTGTCCAGCAGAGCCCATCTTCAGGGAAGATTGAGCACCCCGACCCGGTGCACCTCCCCTAGCAGAAGATACTCCTGGCCAAGCCTCCAGATGTGGCTGTGAGGGGAGTGGGGTAGGCAAGGCCCACCTGGCAGGGGGCGAAACTGAGACCGGCTTGTTGGGGCAGCTGCTGGTAGAGTTGGGAGGGGGTCCACCTTGCTCATGGGGACCCAGGCTGGCTCTGGCTCCCCCTCAGCACCAAGGTAGGACCATCCTTGCCTAGTCTGGGGGAGGCAGAGGGGTGGTCTCCCAAGGCCCCTGCAGGCCCTGCCCTGAGGGCTCTGGACGAGGGGCTCCCTGGGCCCGGCTGAGACTGTGCCTCCGTGCACTGTGCAGGGCCCCCTGCTCCAGGCCAGCTTTGGGGGGCCTTTCCCTGGAGCAGGCCAGCCGCCATGCCCCAGGGCTCTGCCCAGTCAGAGGGTGGGGCCTTGGGTGGCCATCCGCTCCTGAGTTTAGAGGGCTGTCTCAGAGACTCTGTGTCCCATAACGGCTTCTTCTCTATCTGCTGGGTGTGGGGGCCCCAGCTTTGGGGACCAGGACTCCCCGACTCCAGGTGTGCAGGGGGCCTGGTGCAGCCCAGAGTGCAGCAGCCCCTGAGCCCCGGCCTTGGCCTCACCCACTGGGCCAGGACCGTCCGTGTCCAGGCAGAAGCTCCCGCCTCCACCAGCTGTATTCCCAATGGGGGCAGGGTGGGGCTGGGCCGCCATAGTGTCTGGGGGCTCCAGCTGGGGCACCTCCTTCTAAGTCCCTCCCCTCTTCCCTCTCCCCCAGCCCTGGCCGAGATGGCAGCTCCCACCCTGCTGCTCCTGGCACTGCTGCTGCCCGCGGGGGCCTGGCCTGGGCTGCCCAGGAGGCCCTGTGTGCACTGCTGCCGCCCGGCCTGGCCCCCCGGACCCTATGCCCGGGTGAGTGACGGGGACCCGTGGAGGAGCCTGCCTCGTGTGCGGCCCACCATAGACATTGAAATCCTCAAAGGTGAGGCCCGTGGGTGCCGCCTGCATGCTCCCCCACCAGGACCCGAGTCCACAGGGAGTGGGAGGGGACGTGGGGCTCGGGAGGAGGGCGGGAGGGGACGCTGAGCCCCAGTCTCTGTCCTGGCAGCACTCCCTGCCCAGGGACCCCTGGGCTCCCCCCTCAAGCAAGAAGAAGCCTGACTTGGGAAGGGGCCCACGATCCAAAGTGGGGTGAGAGGACCCTGGGGAGGGACCAGGGTTCCTGAGATCCCCAAAGTAGCAGCCCCTTGGGAAGGGAGACTGGGCGGCCCGCTTGCTCTGAGACCCCTTGACAAGGCTGCGCTGTCCCGAAGGCTGGACAGCAGGCCGTACTAAGGTTAGACTTGGGTAGGAACTTCCCGGCCTTCTCATTCTTTAACACCCAACCCAGACCGTAGCTGGCCCTGACCACCCATGTCCCCACCCTCCCAGTGGGGACGGCCTTGTCACAGGCCTTGGTCCAGCCACACCTTTGGAGAATGGCTTCACCCCATCTTACAGAAGTGGACACGGAGGCTGGGATAGGGGCCGTCACTTGCAAAGACTGTGTTCTTACAGTGACCCTTGAGCCCCAGCCTGGGTGCCTGGAATCGGGGAGGCCTGCCCAGCCCGGCCCGACCCGCGGCTTCCGCTTGTTCCCCGCAGGTGAGAAGGGCGAGGCCGGCATCCGAGGTCGTGCCGGCAGGAGCGGGAAGGAGGGGCCGCCGGGCGCCCGGGGCCTGCAGGGCCGGAAAGGCCAGAAGGGGCAGGTGGGGCCGCCGGGAGCCCCGTGCCAGCGCGCCTACGCGGCCTTCTCCGTGGGCCGGCGCGAGGGCCTGCACAGCTCCGACGACTTCCAGGCGGTGCCCTTCGACACGGAGCTGGTGAACCTGGACGGCGCCTTCGACCTGGCCGCGGGTCGCTTCCTCTGCACGGTGCCCGGCGTCTACTTCCTCAGCCTCAACGTGCACACCTGGAACTACAAGGAGACCTACCTGCACATCATGCTGAACCGGCGGCCCGCGGCCGTGCTCTACGCGCAGCCCAGCGAGCGCAGCGTCATGCAGGCCCAGAGCCTGATGCTGCTGCTGGCCGCGGGCGACGCCGTCTGGGTGCGCATGTTCCAGCGCGAGCAGGACAACGCCATCTACGGCGAGCGCGGAGACCTCTACATCACCTTCAGTGGCCACCTGGTCAAGCCGGCCGCCGAGCTGTAGCCGGGAGAGGGGCCCGCAGCTGAGCCCCGCAGCCTGTGTGCTGGGGGTTGGGGGGCAGCAGAGCTTCAGCGCCGACTGTGTGCAGGGATTGATTGAGCGCCCACTGTGTGCAGGGATTGGTTGAGCGCCCACTGTGTGCAGGGATTGATTGAGCGCCCACTGTGTGCAGGGATTGACAATTGAGCACCGACTGTGTGCAGGGATTGGTTGAGCGCCGACTGTGCAGTGATTGAGCGCCGACTGTGTGCAGGGATTGGTTGAGCGCCCACTGTGTGCAGGGATTGATTGAGCGCCCACTGTGTGCAGGGATTGACAATTGAGCACCGACTGTGTGCAGGGATTGGTTGAGCGCCGACTGTGCAGTGATTGAGCGCCGACTGTGTACAGTGATTGGTTGAGCCCCGACTGTGCAGTGATTGAGTGCCGACTGTGTGCAGGGATTGGTTGAGCACCCACTGTGTGCAGGGATTGGTTGAGCACCGACTGTGTGCAGGGATTGGTTGAGCGCCCACTGTGTGCTGTGATTGGTTGAGCGCCGACTGTGTGCAGGGATTGGTTGAGCGCCGACTGTGTGCAGGGATTGGTTGAGCGCCGACTGTGTGCAGGGACTGGGCTATGTGGAGTGCTGGGTGTGGTGGGAGCAAGTCTGACCCGCACCTGCCCTCATAGGGGCTGGCACACAGGAAGCCACATGGACGGAGGCCTGTGGTGCTGAGTGTGCGGTGGGTGGGGCCGGGTGGTGGAACCAGCCAGGTGCCTCCACATGGGATGTTGGGAGCCCGGTTGCTCACCCAGGTACTCGCCCTCATGGCCGAGGGGCCATTCTGCTTATAAAAGCTGTGCCAGGCACCCCTGCTGTGGAGATATTCCTTCAACTTTGGGTATTTGCCAAGCACCTGACAGGTGTGGCTGGACCCGTGGGAGGCCAAAAGCGTTGGAGGAAGACGGTAACTTCCAGGCAGTGTTAGGGGCACCCAGCACTCACAGTGGCTGGGTGGGTGGGGCTGGCCTGGCAGAGGCTTGTCCTTGGCGGGAAACATGTGGCTGAGCGCAGGGGGGCCCATTTTGGGGGCTCACAGGTCCCCAGTCTGTCTGAATGGGTGGGGGCTGGAGGAAGATTGGACCCTGATGGGCACCAGAGCTGGGGGGAACCTCAGACCCCCACGGAGTCACCTCATGCTTAGACAGGGATGAAAGTCGGGTCCACATGGCCTGGCTGCAGTTGTGGGGGCAGAGAGGGCCCTGTTTGGGAGTGTGGGTGTGTCGGTCCCTCCAGGCAAGAGTCTGGCCCAGCTATGGTCACTGGAAGCCTCCGTTACCCTCAGCAGCTGGAACAGCTGCGGCCGCTCCCGGAAGCTCTCCCGGCCACGTGCTCACTTGTCTCTGGAACCACGTCAACCCGGCCTGGGCCTCCGTCCCCCTCTTCCTAGCCCCTCTAGCCCAGCCGTCCACCCACTACCTCCTCCTCCTTGGTGTGCTATCTGTGGCGGCGTGGCCACTGGGCCTTGGCAGCAACAGCGTCAGGAGTCACCGGGCTCAGCCATGCTGCCTGGAACCCTCACAAGGCCGTCCATAAAGCATCCCCAGGTGGGGGCAGGAGAGCCCCCACAGAGGCACCAAGAGTGGGCTCGTGGGGGTCGGAACAGATGCAGGGTCCCAGGTGCCCCCACGGCCCCTTGATCTTTGTCCACCCTGGGACGTCCAGACCCATGGAGTGCCCAGCTCGCCCGTCCCCCTCTTCAGGACCTTCCCTGCCCCCACGCCCTCCCCATAGGGGCCCCCACTAGTCTTGACCAATTTCTGAGCAGCTAGGTCCACAGCCTGCCCCGGGAGGGTCTGTGAGGGGACAGTCCCCCACATCAGGGTGCACCCTACAGGGTGGGGCCGGCTGAGGAGAGAGTTAGGAGGGCAGGGGCTGCAGCCCCTAGGGCAGGGGGACCTTGTCTGTCCATCTGGCGGCACACACTGGCTGGGAGGAAGCAGCCGGGAACAGTGACCCTCCCTGTCGCCGCGGCGCCCCAGCCTGCGACTGCTCAGTCGTCCCCACTACCCGCCACTGGACCAGGCCTGGGGGCAACCAGCAGTGGGGGTCGGGTGGAGGAACCGGGGGAGGAGGGCCGAGGGTGGCAGGAGATGGGGGTGGGGGCCGTCTCCCACCACAGCCGCCGTTTTAGTGTGAAGACTCTGGACCTTCCAGGCCCACCCTCGGGAAATGCCATCCTCTCCTTACAGACAGATGTCTGCCTGTGGGGACCCTGGGAGCCCCAGCTGGCGCCTGCCTCTCCACCTCACCTCACTCCTGTCCTGGGACAGAGGGTGCCCTGCCGTCGGGAGGGATGCACCGAGGCCCGGCCAGAGTCTGCAGAACCCACGTGTGTGTGTGCTGGGAGCCACTCCCCAGACAGGTGGGGGACCAAGCGTGGCCCTCAACAGCGCAGGACAGGAGGAGGGGCATCTACGGGGACTCCCATTTGCTGTGCACACATGGCCCCTCTGCAGGGAGATGGGCTCTGTCTTGGCCGAGCCACCCACACACTGCCCAAGCCTGCTGCCTCCCAAGTCCCCCAGCATCCACCTTTTTCCCTGAGGCTGTCGCTGGGGCCAGGCTGCCCCGCAGCACCCCCAAGTGGCCCCGTACTCAAGTCCCACCTTGTGTGTCTGTGGGGGGTGGTAGCAGGGCTCCTGGGTGTGGTGACAACCACGGACGGGGCACTGGGGCCGGCGGCCGGGGCTGGTGAACTCTGGCCCTGCTAGACAGGGGGGGCACTGGCACTGGGGCTGGCCTGGGAACCTTCCCTCTCCTTCGCCCCACACTGAGGTGGGCGGTGCCTTAGGCTGCACTTTGGCCCCGAGCCTGAGTCCCCTCCTGGCTGGAATAGCAGGACACACCCAGGGCGCCTGGCAACCGGCAGGGGTCGGAGCCATCTCCAGGCACTCATGGGGACTTGACACAGAGGTTTCCGCCTTAGAGATAAAGGTGCCCGAACAGGAGGGGGCAGGCTGAGGGAAGATTGGCAGACCCCAGGCCTCCCACCCCGACCTGGACACCCCCAGCCCTACCCCACTTGCTGAGGGGCCAGGAGAGAAGCCCACAGCCCCGTCTTGGCTGCAGCAGCAGGGCGCCTGGTCAGCACTCAGGGGAGCCGGCGGAGCCTTGTGCTCACTCAGCCCCTTCCCAAGTGAGGACACCCAGTGCCATGCGGGCAGAGCCGGGCTGCAGCCACGTCCCACCCACCCCACACAGAGCCCGTGTCCCTGCCAGCTCTGCCTGTGGCCTCGGGTCCCGTGTAGCAGCAGGGGTGCAAAGGCCTCTGTCAGGGACCCCGGAGCAGCTGTGAGGGGCCCTGGGCTTGCAGGTCCAAAGTGGGTACTGCCCAGACCCGAGCCCTGGGTGTCCAGACCCGGGAGGACTGGGGCCGAGCCCTGGGTGTCGGCTGCACAGCTCCAGGGATTCCTGCCTGGGGGGATCCCCAGGAGGAGCCTGTTGGGGTCAAGTGTGGCAGGTGCTTGAAGAACCAGAGGTGGGGGGTATGGGCTGCTGGGGGTGGGGGTCCTGGCTGGCCATGCAGAGGTTCTTGGCCCCAGTGAGAGAGCAGGGCTGGCTGGGAGATGGGAGCCAAGGGTCCGGACCACCCCAGGGCCGGGGAGGACATCTACTCTCGCAGGCTGCCTGTTCTGCGCCGGGGAAGCCCTCCAGAGTCCCAGACAACCGTTCCCTTCCCTGGCCCTGGCCCAGCTGCCCCGGGGTCTCCCGCCTCTGTGATTCCAGAGAACCTGTGCTGCCGGGGTGGCAGGTGGTCCTGAGGAAGAGAGTCTCGGGAAGACGCTGGCCCCTGCACCAGGGAGCCCAGAAGGTGCCCGTCACCAGATCCAGCCAAGAATCTGGACGTGACCACAGCAGGCCCGAGGCCAGGCACCCATTCCGAGGGACAGGCTGGACCTCCCAGCACAGGCGTCGCCATGGCCTGTGGGCAGTTGCAGCCGCTGATGTTAAGAAGCCTGAGCAGGGGTGAGGCGGGCAGGGGTGCCAGGTCTCTTGGAAGCTGGCGGGGGTGTCTAATGAACGCCAGTGGCGACCGGGGTTCTGGGAGAGCCGGGGTGGGGAGACGCCTGCGAGAGCCTCAGACAGCAGGACCTGCATCCCGCCAACCTTCCAGGCTTATTTGTTTAAAAAACAATGACTGAGCACTGAAAGTGAGACAAGATAAGTCACGATTCTCTGCCTGTGATAATCGCCTGAGGGACGCTGCCAGCGCCGGGTGGGAGCAGAAAGAGGGACGCTTGGTAGAGGCCAGACACACGGGGCACCCCCGTGGTTGGCCCGCGCCAGCTTTGATCATGAGTCAACCGCACAGGAAGGGACTGGGGAGCACGGATTTCCGTGGGGCCATTCCTGTGACATTCCGGGCGAGCACTGGGCTGGGAGGCAGCTTATCCCATGTGACTTTATCCGTTTAGTGGAATTCCAGTAAAAATCCAATTTTAAATGTTTAGGTGAAATTCATACTACATAGAATTGAGCATTTGAGAGTGAACAGTTGCATGACACGACACATTCAGCCGTCACCTCTGTCTGGTTCCCAGATGGTTCCGTCCCCCCGAAAGAAATGTACACCCCTCAGCAGTCACTCCCCACTCCCCCGTCCACGCCCTGGCAGCCACTGTTCCTCTCTGTGTCTGTGAACAGCCCTGTTGTGGGCTTTTCATGGAAATGGAATCACACAAGTAATATTCTGTCCTGTGAATGGACCACATTTATTTGTCCATTGTTGGTTGATGGACACCTGGGTCATTTCTACTTTTTGGCTATTATGGATTATAGATAATGCTACTATGAACATTTCTGTAAAAATTCCTTTTTTTTTTGAGACAAGGTCTTGTTCTGTCACCCAGGGTGATGTGCGGTGACGCAGTCACTCATTGTAGCTTTGAACTCCCAGGCTCAAGCTGTCCTCCCACCCCAGCCTCTCAAGTCGCTGGGACTGCAGGCGCGTGTCACC